ATCCAATCAAATCCAACAGCCAATCAGCAAGAAGAAAAGATTAGGCTGCGTCAGGTTCATGCTTGCATGCCCATATATGGGCATGCCGCCGAATTTCTTTCTTATTACGTCACGCGCGTACGCCCCCGCACAGTACTTTCCTATGGGGACCGCTAAAAGCAAATAAACGATTGTAAAAGCCTGTATCACAAAAATTTAAAAAAACGCCTAGGGGTATTTGCCCACTGTACCTCCATACCAAATTTCAGGACCTTAGGCCCTAAAATGAAGAAGCTGAATCCATTTAAAAAATGGCAGGAGGAGAAGGAGGAGGAGGAGAAGAAGAAGAAACATCAGAAAAAGCAATATGGGTTCACCACCACTTCGTGGTGTGGTGAACCCATAAAAAATATTTGAATCTGTTAAGAATAAAGCGACCACTATTATGCAAAGCTGTCCATGTGTGGGGTAGTTTCCATTATACAGTGTGTATATGGTATAAATGTGTGGTAGTTTACCATATACAGTGTCAGGCAAGGACAGAATTCCAAGGGCCCATGTAAGGAAACCTATATTGGAGAGACTGAAAGATCTCTCAATGCTAGGTTCTTAGAACACATCCGACCTAGCTCGACTACTTCGGAGGTCTCAGAACATATACACATAGAATCGCCTGGGAACTCAATCTCACTGGACAAAGTAAACATCTTGGACTCAGAACAGGATTTCTTTGCTCGAGAGATTAAAGAGGCCATGTACATCAGTGCATTACAATCATTCCTAAACAGAGACACGGGGCGCCACAGACTTTCTGCAACCTATGATGCACTGCTCACGGACTCACGTGTGTTATTTGCGTGACGTCACGGAAGCGATGGATTGCTCATTCCTTGACAAAGACTGGAGTTGCACAGTCGAAAATTTGGGTGAGTCCAATTTGTTGTGTTGGATATCACAGTTTAAACTTGCTACATAATGACTTCTACCAACACAAATGAACTTTCAAGATAACATATTGGCTTGTTTTGTCTCAGAACTCTGTTTGGTTTCAAAAACTGACCTAGGGCTATCCTCGCAGCTCTACGGACCTCCTTGAAGTCTGTTTTTTTTTATAATTGTCCTGTACAAAACTCAACCTGTGCCACCAACGTAGGACAACGAATTGACTTCTGATCGCAGATCTCCATTAACAGAGCTGCCTTACAAGGCTCCGTACACACAGCTCACTTCAGAGCTCAATGTAGTTATTTAGTTGGTAACGCAAGCCATTGAATTGTTTTTTTAAGATTGCAGAGCCCCATTCACAAAGCTCAATTACAAGGGGGCTGGAAAGCCCTTTTTTCGCAGATAGTAATTGGGCGTTTTAAGTCTACGTAGAGCGTAGACGAAGCGCTCTAATTCAACGTAGAACGTAATTGGCGCAGTTTGCGTAGAGCGTATTCGCTGTTTTAATTCCACGTAAGAGGGATTACTAGCCCAGGAAGCGGTCGGTTGTGGTAGTTAAGCAGACCCCTCCCATATTAGTGATAAATGGAGTAAAATGTGAGAAAGTTACAGGTAGTCATTACCTCTTGCCATACACCAAAACTGCAGATGTTGATGCAGTTCAGCTTGACTCCGCTTTGTTCCAGCTTGCAAAAGACAGGCATGGACGTGTCTCCAACGTAGATCGGGATGTTTGGTTTTTTTTCGGATAACTTTTCTAGCGTAGGATAGCTGGGATAAGCACAATGTTGTAATTTCAACTTTAATTGTAGTTGTTTTAAATATGAAGAAAACAAAGAAGTAGATCGTAGTAATAGATTACCATAAAAACATGCAACACTTACATGCAATTCATGCAGGTTAGAGTAAAGTACAAAGAAATGATCTAAAGAAAAGACAAAACCAGCTCAAACGTTATCGTTTTAAATAAAATGAAATATTTTTAATGCAAGTGTGCTGCAGAGATTTAGATTAGATGAATGTACAGGAAGACGTACTGTTGGTTATAGAAAAAAATGAGATGCAGCAATACCGCTTGCCAAACAACCCAAAATGTCGTAAGGTATAGTTGCGAACACACAAACGGAGCTCAAAACACAATCTTAGTTTACAGTAAGACACACATATTAAAGATAACTAGATTTCCCCGATCTCATACCTTCGCCAAATGATGTTAATCTTTATGACTGACAAGTTGTAGATTATCCCCCTGATTGTGCAAACAGGATTCTCATTTTCATGAATTATATCAATTTATCAAATTCTCAACCAAAAGACAGATATATTAATAAACAAAGCCGTTCTAGCATTTCCTCATAAATTATGCAAATGAGGTCCTGATTTGAATACATTATGTTTAATGATGTTCATCTTCACTGAACTTTCATATACCACAAGTATGAAATTCCAGGCAGTGATCATTACATAATTATAAAATTTTCTAATTAATTATGCAAATTAAGTCTTCATTTACATGATTAATATATGTCTGTGTTTCTCTCGTTCTCAATTACCAATGTCACAAGCTTCAATAGTCCTATCGTGTAATGCAGGTGATTTATAGAATTTCTCCGAAGCTTATGCAAATTACATCCGTATTTGCATAATTGTCACATAATTATATCAGGCATCATAAAAGCTACCTACACGGCGGTCAATTTCTAGGGTAAAGTTTCCAATTCTACGGAGGGGTATCAGGTTACCGGGGTTCCACGCGCGGCTTCCGTGGAGCCAGTCTGAACGGTAAACATTTTGTTAAGCAATAATTAACAGTTTCACGGGGACTCTCTTGTCCAAATGTGATAAAATCAGCACGGCATGTACCTCATATGATGTTGTTTTTATTACAATGCTTAAATGTGTGTGAAATCACTCTCAACGCGTCAAATGCTTATTCTAGAACAATCGACGTCAATAACCAAACAACTGATTTAAACCGACCCCAAATCTCCCAGAAAATCCCACAATATTGCATTTTAGAGAACAGTATAACAAAATCAAGATTTGAGTCGGACAGTCTTCTTTATTTCAAAGTTAAAGTGTTGCTAAGGCCTAAAACTTCGCCAAAAAATGCAGTTTTTCAACTTCCAAGACCGATAATTCCAGAATGCCGCCATCTTTAAAAAATCCGTCCGACACAGATCGAGATTAGTGTCTTGCCTACAATTTAAAACGTTTCTGAGGTAAATTGAATTTGTTTTTGTTGCGGTTTAAATACCATGTTTGCAAGCATGTCAGGCAGTGTGAGTAAGTGCAGGGGGTAACTTATATCCCCGTAAACAACAATTACGATCGTCAAGGTCACACACGATGACGGCGGTAGCTTCGTTACATGTTACATATCAACTATAAAACAGGGCATTGATGTGCTGTCCCGAAATTGGTTTATATTTGTGAAAAGGTTGATTTTTTACTGTTAGGTGGTACCCGTGTAAAAACGGGCTTGAAGCCGCGGGTTAACGGTACGCGACCGCAGGTGACCCCGGATCGAACGAACGTTCGGTTCGATTTACGTCATATCGAACGTGATTCGATTCGAATGACGTCATATCGAACATGATTCGGTTCGACTAAAAGGTTGGAATATTTGGGCCCAAATTTGACCATCGTGCTACATACCAAAAATCACGACGATCCGTCTACCGGTTCTTGAGTTATCCTCCTTTGAATATTTTCAAACAGATAGCCCTGCAGTTTTAGCAAGCCGCTAGGGGCCCAAACTCACGTCACTTCGTCCCCAACACAAGAGCTACCTACCATCCAGAGTTTGTCACCCTAGCATGTTTTGATCACGGCATATCAAAACCGGAAGTTCAGCTGCAGGACCATAACAAGCCGCCAGGGGGCCCAAAATCTAATCATTTCCACGCCTCATGAAGACCTATCCACCTACCAAATATCAAGACAATCCATCTAATAGCCTTCTTGAGTTATCGTGATGACACACACACATACGCACGAACACACGAACGCCCCTGAAAACATAACCTTCTCGCCGAAAGTAATAATAAAGCATTTTACAGAAATGTTGGTTAAGGGAGGGGAAAATTGGTGCAGAGAGGCTTGGCCATCTCCATGTTAACATCAAGTCGCGTATAACCGAGCAGTAAAGTTTTACATTCTGTAACATTACCTGCAATTCCTGGTAGTCCTTTGGCAAAATTGCTTTCCTGATATTATCAACTTGTAAAATACAGGTCGAAATTAATGTTATCTAGTTGAATGGTAACAGATTCTGTAATACGAACGTTTGCTATTTTTTTAACATCTAAACCTGGAGGCTGTTTTGAAAAGTACAGAGTGTATTTTAGGATTCTCTGTCACCTTGAAAAGGGATTCTCTCATGCAATAGTACTAAATCTGAGAGCAATTGGTCCAAGGCAGCTCTTATAGAAAATCAACAGAATTTGGATTTTCTGTTTTCTTCTGGCGTTGATGATCAAGCATCGAGAAACAAAACCAGTCACCAGTGCCTACTCAAGGTGTGATTGCGCCATTGGTCATGACAAGGTGGTAAGTACATGTACAAGGTACATGTGTAAATAAATGTTTATCTGTGCATACTATAGCACCTATTGCTGACCTGAGGTGATCTGAGTGTACATGACTTATGTAAATGAGATCAGCACGACAAAGCCTCTTTAGCCAATCAGCTGGCGGTTCGTGGAGGAGCCACCACCCTCTGCCGAAGGCCGGTCCGGTCAGCCAAGGGTCAAAGATCATGACCTTGTCTCCAAGTTTGAGCTCCATGCACGCATGCGCTAAGAAGGTTAGCTGTAATAGAGCAGACCTAAGATATTGTACGATTATGCCTTCTATATGGGTTAAGATATAATCAATATAATTTAGAGTGTGCAATGTTTTTAAAATGATAATACTCAATTAGAATTAAAAATGGTCGTGGAAAATTATTTGAGTTGGAATGGCCAACAGTCTACTGCGTGTAGCAGTCAATAAATCTTGGCTGTCAATAACAGGTATCTCTACGAATTATGCCGATTGGGTCTTTATTTTTTTTAATATATTCCGAAACATGTAATCACAAGTTTTTTCAACTTATATTAATGCCGACACGGTCTTTATTTACATAAATGATTGGTATAAATCTATCAGAATTTCTCCCTCGCCCAATAACAGGCAGTGTGTGGGACCAAGAGACCCCAAGTGCCCCAACAGCTGACTCTTTGATACGGTTTTTAAAACAACACATAAAATGAACCAACATCTGTTTAGAGAATACGTTAAATCCAACGACATCAATTATTTATTGCGCACTTCACTTAAAATGCGTGGGTGAAAAAACGCCAATGTGTCAACGTGCCTCCTGTCGCACTTAGTACCTTGCAGACGACATGAAAGGTACATGTCAATACATCAAACGGATCTTGAGGTAGAGCTGCAAACATACACATACGAAAAGACACTAAACTTCTCTACGGTTTAAAAATCCAATAAAATTATTAAGTTGCCAACACACAGATTTACACGTAAAATAGAGCACCTGTCCGTTGGCGGTGACCTTTTTTTAAAGTGTATCTGAAGGAAAGGGTTTGTCAGAACAAAGTTGAATTATTAAGCTGAAAATTGAATTATTTTACTTCATTCAGGATCATTTAGATCTAAGAATGACCTTAAGATCTAGATTATTCTGACCTTAACCTCCCCTGGTTTGATTTCCCGCGGGGGTCTAGCATCTTTCTTCCACGGTTCAGGAGGAGTCAACTCCACCAAGGTTAGGGCTCCCTTCCCGTCCATCTCCGGAACTATAATACATTTTGCGATAAAAAAAAACGCCTCAATGCGAAGTCATGTAATACTAGTAAATATAAAGTACATTACAGTACAGTACACAACAATAACTTCGAAATTGCAAATGAAGAGGTTAGATGTACCTAGCCTCTCTTGGGTGAAGCTCTCTGGTGGGTTCACATACTTCATAGTAGCTGAATCCAGCTTCCAGCCATGTTTGGTGCATCGTAAAACACTGCGTGCGAAATATTATGAAAATGGTTATAGCAAAAACACAGTGCGGGCTTCTTCATCTTGACATTCACTTCTGCTAATCTCCCATACTAGGTCTGTTCAAAATATTTTCCAAAAGGTGTCTCACTCTTTCAAGTAACTTTTTAATAAGATTAGTAGAGAAACCTATCTAGACTGGGGGAAAGGGTCAAATTGAAGTGAAGTTCATACTATATGTACTAGTTCAAACGTAATCATGCGTATTTAACCTACATAACCCTGCGTGTATGAGATTACAAAAATTCTCTAGACTCTAAATCTAATAATGTACATGGTGTGTTCCATTCGGATCGATGTTGGCGAATGGTTTTAGATTGCAATCACGACCCGCAATGTATGTTTTACATCACCTTACCAACGCTACAAGTTGTGAACTGTAGAATGTTTTAAAAAAAAAGCGATGTCACGAATTTCCCAACCTGGAGGCAGAGTCTTCAACGTCTTTAACGAATGTGCCACCTTGATGCTTGCAGATGTTGCGGCAGGCCTTGTACGGTTCTTCTGGATTTTTAGGGTTCTGTAAGGTGAAATATTGTTGTTGAAGAGAATATTTGATAGAAATAGAGCACTCTTAACGTTTTCTCTTTCTTTTTAGTTTTATAACTGAGTTCCTTGCGTCATTTAAAGAAGTTGTTTTAATAGGAGCTGTATTTTCCTCTTAGTGCTGTGTTTAATGTTTATATGAACCGTGTGCCTTAAACATTAAAGAATAAATAATTAATCAAAAATCCCTAAATGGGGAGTACTCAGGATTAAAATTGCAAACGAAGTAATTTTTTTTAAACGAGAAAAAAACTGAAAACGGTAGATGTGGTTAAACAGCTCTAGGGAAGAGCGAGTCCAAACATGCACCGCAGCTTAGTTTTTGGTGTTTGTTTGCAATGATTGCTGTCTTTAGGCTAGTTGACGTCTTTTATATGCAGATGTTTGAAGGCCTAGGCTTACACATGAAGCTCACCTATACATAGTCCTCGTTTTAAAAAGACTTTCGCGACGAAACCGTTTTCATATTTGGTGAAGCAGCAATAAAACCTATCATTTGTAAAACGGGGACGAAACAAACATGTAGACATTAACTACAGAAAAACTAAAGCTAAAAAAGATTTTTTAACCTTTACGTACCTTGTATATAATAAAGCTGTTCCCTGCCTCCTTGCAGATAAGGTTCGGACCTTCTTTAAGAGCAGCAGTTTCTTCAGAACTCAATTTTAGCACTTCTACACTGCGTTGCTCCATTTTCGTTCTACAAAACAACTATTAACAAGAGTTCTGAGATCTCATATCTCCATGAAATATGGGCTTGCTTTATCATACTTCATTTCAACATGTCCTTATTAATAATGCAAATGACTTTGAAATTAACATAATATATGTATAGTGGTGCTAACCTTCAAGTAACTTACATACGTCACGAGGTATAAAATCCCCATCATTCACCAATAAGGGGTCACAAAATTTTTACATTTATTATGCAAATTATGTCCTGCAGTTACAGAACAATCCGCTAGGGAGACCAAATTCACACCACTTATTTCTGACGGCAAAAGCTATCTGTCACCAAAAAGTCAAGACCATAGCATGTTCAGGACAAAAGATACAAAAACCGCCGGAAATTCTGCTGCAGCACCAAGGTCATCCACCAGGAGGCCCATATTTGACCTTGACCTTTGTCTTCCCAAGACGTACCAGCATACCAAATATCATCACAATCCATAAAGGCGTTATGAAGTTATGCTGACAACAAAGTTGCGGAAACACACACAGACATACACACACAGAGACATACAGACAGACACGCCAAAAACAATACCTCCATTTTTCATGGAGGTAAAAACATCTATCGTACTAAATATAAGTAGGGCAGGAAAGATCAGGAAATCATTATATACAAATCCACATTTCCAGATATGTGAACAACTTTCTAACAAGAATTCCGAGACTTCGTACCTCCATGAAATATGGGCTTCATGTAAATGTAAATTTCTTCTTTAATTATGCAAATTACCTCTGCATTAACATGATATATGCATCATGATGTATGTTAACTTTTGATTAAGTTACGGATGTACCAAGTATGACATTCCCATCATTCACCATTAAGAAATCATAAAATTTTTGCATAAATTATGCAAATTAGGTCATCATTTACATAATTAGTATCTGTTGATGTTCCGCCTGCCATAGGTTACATACATTACATGTATGAAAGTAGTATAATGTAAAACACTGTAATTATAGAATTTCCTCATTAATTATGCGAAAAAAGTCCTCATTTGCATAATTTGCATTTAATCATGTACATCTCTCTCTCATCTACCTACACATCAAATATCATGAAAATACGTTGTTCCTATATGGACTTATTGGCTTTTAAAGATTACGCCAGAAAGTCCCCTGCAGTTCCAGAACAAGCTGCTAGGGGGACCAAACTCACGCCACTTATTGCTGACAGGATAAGCTATCTATCACCAAAAAGTCAAGACCATAGCTTGTTCAGGACAAAAGATACAAAAACCGGAAGTTCTACTGCAGTACCAAGGTCATCCACCAGGAGGCCCATATTTGACCTTGACCTTTGTCTTTCCAAGACTTACCAGCATACCAAATATCATCATAATCCATAAAGGCGTTCTGAAGTTATGCTGACAACAAAGTTGCGGAAACACACACAGACAGACACACACACAGACACACAGACAGACAGACATACAGACAGACACGCCAAAAACAATACCTCCATTTTTCATGGAGGTAATAACATTCAACGGCACACAACCGAGTTCTTCTGCTACAGCGATCCATGGTAGTCATCACAATTGATGGTTCTAACGCAAGCCGTTAAGGCGATACCTGAGATTAAAGTGAGAGCTGGCCTCAAAAGCCCCACTCGGTCTAAATAGGGTTTGAAAATTTTGCTTTTATTAACAGTATGGACCCTTACGCATTCTCGTATTTCAATTACTGGTCACTCTTTTGTTTCACACCTATTAAAAATATGGCCAAACTTTGCAAACATGCACTTTATAGCACTTATGATTGGGTATCTCTTATTTTTTTTTGAAGCAAAAAAAAAATAAGCATGTTTGGACGTACAGCGCTTCAAATATGGGCAGAAATAGCGATATTTTATTAGCCAAAACAGTGTATTGTCTTATAGAGTTACCCAGGCCCATAGAACGGACTTTTTGAAAATTTCAAAGCCATTCTAGAAAGCAAATAAGTAAAACAGGGAAATAGCCCCAAACAGGTTTAGACCCTTATCATGGCAACGATCGGTGGAGCAGAAAGGAAAGCTATTTGAAGGGGCTTGAGGCAAAATTTGAGTAAAATCGATTTTTGACACCTGCCACCATTGTTTGATCCTTACAGACACTGGCCTTCAAAAAATCCTAAGGAAGAAAGTTAAGATTTAATGTAGTGGTTTAAAAACTTTAGAACGCCTTTATAGATAGCTGACCTTGGTACTGCAACAGAACTTCCGGTTTTGTGTCTTTTGTCCTGAACAGCCTATGGTCTTGACTTTTTAGTGACAGCTAGCTTTTCCTGTCAGAAATAAGTGGTGTGGTATTGGTCCCAAGTAGCTTGCTCTGGAACTGCAGGGGACGTACAGTGTTTTATATAATATTACGTTTATACATGTAATCTATTCAATTCATGACCGGTGTAGCATCAACAGATATCAATTATGCAAATGATATCTGTTGATGTTCATTTGCATAATTAATGTAAAATTCTGTTCATTTGCGTAATATAATGTGAAATTCTTCGATTCCTTATGGGTGAATGATGTGAATGTTCTACCTTGTGACATAACGATGGTCAAATCTGGCCCCATTTTTCCTAACACGCTGCTCAGAAATATTCAATGTCAATCATTTATTTCGCCATTGAAAACAGTAGCTGATTGGTTCGCACTTTTGGTGGCGTGGACAAGAAATGTTTTGATCGCACCTCGCCCAGCAATATTTTCATGCGAGGTTGCCTTTTGAAATGCGTACTCCTCCATCTCTTTCACACGTTTTAACAATGCCCCGGTCTTCATTTGTGTCTCCAATTTTACCTCTATGGTTACTGTGATTCCCGATTTTTTTAAGTTTTAATTTTAGGACTTTAGCAGTCACTTTTCCATCGCTGAGACTTCATCATCCCAAGTGTTTGATCGTTTCCACCCCCTCGCTCTTTCCCTAAATCTTGTGGGAAGTTGTCGAAATGTTATTTGTGTATTTAGAAATAGTAGCAATGTCGCCTGTAGAGCAAAATTAGGTAGATTTCCTTAAGAAATAGATATTTGAATATATATAGTTAAATTCTGGTTATGCCTGGACACAACCTTCATCTTCATCTTTGCCGGGGTTCTAGGATGTTGTGCAAGCCCCGGCTACACCCCCATATAGCCCCTGTTGGGGCACTTTAGGGGGGAACCTCACACTCCCTTCAAATGAATGCTCTCTTCTAGCAGAAAAGCCTTCCGAAAAATACATGTAGACAAACTTTATTGCAACGTGCAACTTTATCACAATGGATGCTCCTTTTTGTGGCATTACAATAACTCACATTATGACCCTAAACATGTTGGGAAAATGCCGAGAATTAGACTTACAGATATGCACATATGTCTTCTACAGTTTTACAAGAGATGTCAAACCCTCAGACATAGTTTTAGACATAGCTATAGTTTTAGACAACTACCTTTCATTATGTGCATTTTAGTTATTCTATATACTTTTCTTAATGTTCTTTTATGTTTGTAACGTGCAATTAGCCTCCGGGCATGAATTTGCAATAAATTTCTCAATTATTATAAAAGGAGAGAAAGATATACAAGTACTTGTACAAATGCATCAGGGTTAACAGCTGTAGATGATAAGTCGGGCAAAACGTTCTAGACTAATTCAGAAAACTCAACAGCTTACTGCTTACTTCATGAACATCATGGGAGCCATATGAGCTACATAATGCTGCATGTGAGTGGACATGTATGTGAATCAGCATGTGTAGTGAATCAGCAGCAGTAGTTGTGAATCTGTGCAATTTCCACAATGTCCCAAGGGTTTCGTGGAATTTCATTACTACGAAATGTGGACATAGATCTGTCTCAGCAAAATCCCAGAGATGTGAGACATTTCTGTGGACATTCCATTCCTGTGGATAAAATGCCTGTACAATTCCTAGAACTCTTGCAAACTGCACACAATACTTAGGCTCCCTCTGAGGCGTCGCAAAAAAAAAAATATTGGGCTGATCATCCCTAGTACTGCGGCCCCCGAGTATACTCGAGTTTTTTTGCGACGCCTCAGGGGGGAGCCTAATGGCACAGTATTGTGTGTAGTTTGCAAGAATTCTAGGAATTGCACAGGCATTTTGGCATGTCTACAGGCATGTTAATGACACACTTTTATGGACACATTCCTACGTAGTCCTAAATTCTTGCCCAGATACCCACATGCCTTTCAAGTGGAAGTTTTACATTCTTCCCACATTTCTTTCCACATGCCTTCCAAGTGGATGTCTTAGCATTCCAAGTGGAAGTCCTACATTCTTGCTCACATTCCTGTCCCACATGCCTTCCAAGTGAATGAACTACAAACTCCTAAGACATTTTAGAATTACTTCTGTGAGTACAGTCGATAGTGATCAGATGTGCTGTTGTAGTACCAGGTAGCCGCTTGTGTTGAGTGTCCGTTGGATAGGTAAGTTTGCCATATACATTATCTATGTCTAGTTGTCAAGGTCGTGATTTGGAGTTATTTTTTTAAGTTGCCAACACTAGTCAAAGAAGTTGCCAACACTAGTCAAAGTGTGTGTTGTTTTAGGATCTGTTATGACAATAGCATTTTAAGGAGGGCCCCGCAAGCCCATTTTCCGTAGAGTGTAATTGACTGTTTTAATTCTACGACTGTAACCGGACCGATCTATTAACGTGTGTCCTGGATGGTAAGTTTGCCATGTTCAATGATGAATCCTATGATGAATTCTACGTAAGTCAGCACAAGACATAGACTTTAATAAATGTATCTTAAATGTTAATATAATTTATAGAGACCATGCGCGTTTTTTTGTGTAAATACTATTCTACTGGAATTTGGAAAATGACCCACGCTGTCTTTCCACCAAGCTTCTATTGAGTCGCATGGTTGGGATACATTCAAGTTGATATTTAAGAGTTCGAAAAAATCGGCGAGTACAATATTCTCATGTGACCCGTTTCAAACAAACTAGCGCATTTGAAGCTTGCGTTGTGTACAGACTATTACACATATTAGATGTTTTGTGCTACCGTTTTACAAGAAGTTCTAAATATAACAACTCTTCATGAATGGAAAGGATTGTTCATATAAATTTCTATTTCATTACAAATCCAAACTGTTGACACGGAGATCAGTTAGCTAGGATAGGCTAGGTATATCGCGAAGTTAACTCCTCACGAACATAAATGCACTTACATGTTGTACACATCAGAGGTTGACATTGATAGGTTGTTGACGTTGG